CCCTTAGAGGCTCTATGTTGCCATTAATTGATTTCTCCGTTCTAGCCATTATCTTCACAATTGCTATACTGAATTCCATCTCTGACATCTTGGTTATATCTGCATCCATTCGTAAATCTGTGGCATAAGTCATAATCTCTGAGTCTTTTCTGTTTTGGGGGCTCCTCCTCCTAGTCATTCTGTTGATGGGTGTTTGAGGGAATGTATAGAGTCCAAATTATTGACCAGAACCCAAGCAAGATGCACCTGTTTTCTTGGGACCTTAGGGTTGCTGGCCCCTTGTTTTCCCAGCCTGTCTTCTGCGGGAGGGGCCTGCCGCGCTGTTACTCAGGCAACCCTGCTTGGGCGGAGTTGCCCTGCCCCCCTGTGGCAGGGGATGGGCTCAGCGGGAATCAGTTTTTGGGGCTTTTGTTCTCTGGAGGCTTTCCCTGGCGGCTTTCCACGTCTCTTCTATGAGTCAGAGCAGAAGAGACCGCAATCTGTTCTTCAGTGAGCTCTCCAGGCCACACCGTCTCTGTTTCTGTCCGTGCTGCTATAAACTGCAGCGTCCTGGGTTGTGCGGCCCTCCGCAGTGCATCCAGTCCTGCGTCCAGGTCGGGCATGTCTCTGTCCTTTGTGCTTCTAAAACCGCCAGCTGCCCGCAGTTCACGCTTGCGACCCCTACTGCTCTGGGTTTCTGCCCTGGGGGCTGCCCTAGAGTCCTTTCCCCGCTGCTACCGGTCTGCGAGTCTGTGCCCGTCCCCAGCAAGCGAGTCTGTCGCTCACCAGCGGTGTAGGATCCCCACGGCCAGGCACCCTCCCGCTGCCGTTTATCCTCCGATATCTGCCCGCGGAATCACGGCTCCCTGCTTCGTACCTCAAAACCAACCACCTGCGATATTCTGTTTGTAGAGATCCAGATCTTCTTACATCTCAGGCTGGTTTCGTGGGTGCTCAGAGTGGTCTGGTAGATATCCAGCTCAATTCCGGGGACCAGTTGAAATACGGTCCCCTACTCCTCCGCCATCTTTCCTTCCCCCCTTTCCCCATGTTTTAATAGTAACTGTTGGTCTGACTCTGCATAAGTTACAAAGTGCTTTTTACATCAATCATCAGCACATGCTCATCCCATCCTCTCAGAGTACCCCTTCTGGGACTGATAAGTATGAGCACCCCCATTTTATAGCTAAGGAAACTGAGGCTCAGAGAAAGAAGGCGACTTCTCTAGGCTCTCAGAGCCTGTCAGATGCTGATTTATGACTAAAAACCAGCCTCTGGAACCCCTACCCAACGTTGTCCTCCAGCACTCCAGGACCCAGCATGGGGCCAGTGTGGCTTTAATTCTCAATGCTGTGGCTTGTTTGGATTCTGCCTCGGGAACCTTCCAATTTTATCATGCCTTTTCAGTTGACTGGCTGAGTAATGATATTGTCCAATGTTTGATGTGTTTCCATATTTATTGAAAAACATTACTGTCTGTTTTCTTCAAGAGTGGCTGAGCATAATTAGGTAGATTATATTAAAATTCTCGGGGAAAAACAGAATGTTCAAAACCAACAAGATTATCTTTGCAGAGGGGACTGGGAGAAGTCCTCCTTATGTAGGTGAGGGAAGCGCACCTGAGGCAGGCACACAGGCTGGGTGTAGGGGCATCTGCTCTTTTGGTCTCCCTTCACCCCTCCTCCCGGTTCTGGTGATAGCACCTTGGTGTTCCTTTGGGGAGCCAGCTGGGTTTGCCAGATAAAATACAGGACACTCAGTTAAGTTTGAACTTCAGATTAGATATCAACAACAAAATAATTTTTTTTTTTGTATAAGTATATTCCAAGTATTGCACGGGACATACTTATACTATAAATCCATTCACAGCTTATCTGAAATTCACATTTGACTGGGTGTCCTGTGTTTTTATTTGCTACATTTGATAGCCATGACACCTCTTAGCTCAAATGTTGGAGTGAGATGGATCCACCCTACCTGGGCTCCAGGAGTGGGCAGGTGATCTAGACTTGGGCAGCCAGTGCATTTTATCCCTCCCACCCACAGAGATTGGTCAGAGCTGGGGATATTAGCTTCAATTTTGGAAATCTGGCTTGCACCACTGAAAAAGAGATTCTTTTTGGAGGGGTTGCTAATCTGTGAAAGGCAGCCCCTGGGGTCCAACAAATGAGAGTCTGGGTAAGAATGAAGATGAGAGAGAGAAAAACAGCCAAGAGAAAGAAGAGATTCAACTTTAAAGACATCCTTGGGTGGCCTGGGACCAGCCTCATTGAATTTCACCTTCGTCTTGGCTCCCTAGTGCTGAAGGAACAGTTGAGCGCTGTTTTGATGATGTTGCAAGCAAGGATAACAGCAACAGTGGGATGGAGTTGAAAGCAAAGCCTTCAGTGGTGATGGTTATGCAAAAGATCAATCCTAATCATGGTGGTGGTGGAAAGAGTGATGGAATGGAATGGCATGCACAGTCAAGGGGAGGATAAGTTCTTGCTGGTGATAGTTCTGTTCAGGGTGCCAATGTGGCTGATAATGAAGGCAAGGATGCCAATGATGATTAAGATGGTGTTGGTAAGGAGAAGAAGGTAACAAGGAAAAGAATAATTCTCAACCCCAGTCGATCACCAAGTCCTATCAATTCTACCCTCCTCAATTTTATTTTATTTTTTTTTTAAGATTTTGTTTATTTGAGAGAGAGTGAAAGTGAGAGAGATCATAGAGGGAGAGGGAGAAGCAGATTCGCCACTGAGCAGAGAACCCAGTGTAGGGCTCGATCCCAGGACCCTGAGATCATGACCTGAGCCAAAGGCAGATGCTTAACTGACTGAGCCACCCAGGTGCCCCCTACCCTCCTCAATTTTAAAAGTTATCTATTCACTCCACTGTCTGTGCACTGCTGTTACCACCCTAGCCCAAGCCACTAGCAGCTCGTGCTGTTTCTACTGCTAACTGACCTCCTTGCTGGCCTTCGTGCCTCCCTATAGTCTATACTCCATGCTAAAGCCAGTATGGAGAGTGAAATTTTAAAAAATGCAAAAATGTAAAAAAATGTGAAGTTTCACTTCTCTACTCAAACCCGTTCAGTGGCTTCAACTAGAATCCAAACACTTAACATCACCTCAAGACCAGCACGACCTGGCCCCTACCTGTATCCCAATCTCATTTCCCTCTACTTGCTCCTCTTGCACTACATTCTAGCTTGATTACTCTTCTTTTGTTTTTTCTAGAATGTACCAAACCCTTCATATAAGTCATCCCCTAGGCATGAAATGACTTTTCATCCTTTGTGTCTCAGCATCCATGTCACTTCCTAGATTCCAAATCCAAACAAGCTCCCCCTGTTAACTTTCTCTCATGGCACCCTGTCCTAAAGACACTTTGTTTAATGATTCTCTCACCAATTAATCAATTTTTGAGTCTTGGCACCATATTTCTTTAAGAATGTGTCACAGGAGTGCTGTAGCTCCTAAGGCGAGTCATCTCCAGCATCTAGAATCCTCCTCCATGGACTCCTGTGTGCCATACAAACATGACTGTTTTCTCTCTGGGTCCTGCTTTGAGAAGGCTGAGAAGTCTACACCATGCACTTCTTAATGGCAGGGGCTCTGTTTGGGTTGCTCATGCCTATATTCTCAACACAAGCTCCAGTGTCTGGCACACAGCAGGCACTCAAGAAGTATTTCTTGAAAGAATGAAAGGTTTTATGGTGGTGAAGAAGGTGGTGGAATTGATAAGGATGATGGTGATGATGATGGTAATGGTGAGGGTGGGGGTGATGATGGTGACGATGGTGAGGGTGGTGGTGATGATGGTGACAATGGTGAGGGTGGTGGTGATGATGGTGAGGGTGATGGTGATGGTGGTGATGGTGATGGTGACAATGGTGGTGATGATGATGGTGATGGTGATGACGGTGATGGTGGTGATGGTGATGATGGTGATGGTGGTGATGGTGATGATGATGGTGGTGATGATGATGGTGATGGTGATGGTGGTGATGATGATGGTGATGATGATGGTGGTGATGATGGTAATGGTGAGGGTGGTGGTGATGATGGTGACGATGGTGAGGGTGGTGGTGATGATGGTGAGGGTGATGGTGATGGTGGTGATGGTGATGATGGTGATGATGATGGTGGTGATGATGGTGATGATGATGGTGATGGTGATGACCGTGATGATGATGGTGATGGTGGCAGTGATGGAGGTGGTAAAGGGATAGATTCAGAGGACCTGGCTTAGCCCATTGCTTTAAAGAACTTTTATTAAAAATTGGATCTGCCTTTTGCCTCTGTAGTCAACCTAGAAATATCAGCTGAAGGTGGATTTTGGAGGAAGGATAATTGGAGCTGGAGGAAGAGTGGTACTGAAGACTAAACGCCCCGGGGGGGGACTGTCAGGCTGGTGAGGCCCCACTGTCTTACTTCCCCAGTTTGCAGGGAGGCCGCAGTCCTGCAGCAGAGCACCCAGAACTCCAGCACCTGTCTGGGCGCTCGGCTCGGTTTGAGCAGGAGGGGGAGCCTTAGGAAGGGCGGGTGAGGGAAGGCTCCGGGCACACGGGGCTGGAAGGGGGGAGTCTAGGCGGTGGTGTGAAAGAGAGCGAGGAGGGCTGGGGCGGAAAGGGAGAGGCAGGGCAGGCTGGGTCACGGAGGGGGGGATGGCTTGGGGACAGTGGGGAGATGTTCCGAGAGATAAGAGTCTGGGGGGCAGGTGGGAAGTGGGAATGGACGACTGAGGTGGCGTTCAGGCTGGGGTGGGGTCCAAAGGGAGGGATGAAGGCTCGGATAGGGGTGTGAAGGCGGGGGTGGAAGTCTGAGATCGCAGGTATGGGGCCTGCGAGTGGCAGTGGCATCGGAGGGCTGGGAGCGGTTTGGGAGGAGCGCGCGCAGGGCGCAGGTGAAGGGCTGAGGGCGGAGCCAGGGCGGGAGGGAGGGCTCGAGGACCGAAGGCCGGGGCAGCTCCCAGTCCGGAGGCTCCGGAGGAGGAGCTGGGAGCCGCGGGCGGCGGGCGGCGGGCCGGGCTGCGCCATGCGGGTGCACCTGAGCATGCTGGCGGGCGCGGCGGCGCTGACCGGGGCGCTCAGCTTTGTGCTCCTGGCGACCGCCATCGGCACGGACTTCTGGTACATCATTGACACCGAGCGGCTGGAGCGGGGCGGCCCGGGGGCGCGGGGCCGGGCGGGGGCCGCCAACCGCAGCGAGCTCGAACCTCTGAGCTCGCACTCTGGCCTCTGGCGCACCTGCCGGGGTAAGGGGGAGCGCGGGGACGCTGCGCGGTGCCGCGTCCGCCCGGGACCTGTTGCTGGGCTTGCAGTCCTCCCCCGAGCCCCAAAGCACAAAACGCGGGGTCTGGGCCCGGGCCGGGTGGGCGGAGGGCTCCGGAGCGGGGTGAGCTCCAGGCGCAGCTACTCTGGTCTCCGCACGATCCTCCCTCCCGGGATGGCGTCTAGGGTGCGCGTGAGGGCGAGGCCCAGGGCTGGGGTCCCAACGCCAGGTCCGCAGCCACTGATTCTTCCGCCCCATCCAGTCCAGAGCCCGTGCGTGCCACTGATGAACCCCTTCTGGCAGGAGAACGTGGCCGTCAGCGACTCAAGCCGACAACTTCTCAGTGAGTCCGGGAGGGAGGGGGTCGGGGGAGAATCCCGGGTCTGGACACCAGTTTTGGAGCTGTTCTCCAAAGAGTGGGGCGGGAGCCCTGCGGAGTGGGTGGCCAGGACCGAAGAAGGGAGTGGAGTTAGGAGCAGGGGCCAGGCCTCTCTTGGGCCACAGGTTACACCGTGTGGTTTAGGATTCATTCCACAACTGTTGATCGCAGGCTTCCTCTGCACCGGGCACCGTGCTGACGATTAAGACCCAAATCCTGCCGTCCAGGAGCTCACAGACTAGCTGCGGAGACGGATGTGGAAATGCGCAGTCACATTTCAGAGTGACAAGCAGCATGAGGGAGGGAGCGTGGGTGGGAGTCCGAAGAGACACCTAAACCAGCCTGAGGAGCTCAATGCTGAAAAGAGAGGTCTGAGCCCATAGACCCCAAAGCACACCCCGTGTCAGCCTTATTTGTATCCTCAGGGCTGAGAACAAGCGCTTGGCAGTAGCGGGGATGCAGTGAACATCTGTGGATGATTCAAGAAAGGCCATCAGGAGCAGAGAGCAGCCCCCTACCCCTGGGGCCACTGGGTCTGTCCTGTTCAGGGCTGATTTCCCAGTGCCTAGCACAGTGCTTGGAACTCAGTAACACTGGGAAGACTGAATGCAGGGAAGCGAAAGGGCTGAAACAGACACTTGAGAAAGGAGGGACCTAAATATAATAGTTCAGCGAGTTCATTGAGGCTGGCAGTGGGCCGGGCTTGGAGTTGAATGCTTTCCATCACTGTCTTCAGTTAATCTCCACTGCTACCCTGTGGAGTTAAGTATCATCTCCATTATTACCTTCATTTTTCCTGCAAAGAAGCTGAGGCTCAGAGAGGTACCATAGAAAGAATCTGATGAGGAAGGGAGGGCTGAGTTCCACAGACCTTAAAAAATGTGGGTTGCTTTTAATGGACTTGTTGAGGCTTGGGAACAAAGACCAAGTCGCTAGCATGGCCCACAAGGGCTGCCAGGGTGCCTCTCCAGTTCCAATCTCCCCCTTGCTCTTTCTTCTCTGGCTGTGCTTGCCTGGGGCTACTTCCTGAACCATGCCCAATTTCCTCCTGCCACTGGGACTTTGCATATGCCATTTCCTCTGCCTGAAGTCTCCTTGCTCCCGTCCCGCTAGCTTGACTCGGTCAACTTCTACTCATAGCACAGGTTTTGTGACATTTTTTGAGTTAAAGTCTGACTCCCTCATTAGACCATGAGTTCCGTGAGGACGGGGACCATGCCTGTCTTGCCATGGCTTGATGCCCAATATTTAGCACAGAACCTGGTGTGGGGTGGGATCACGAGCCCAGATTTGCTGACCCAGGTATGAGAATGAGTACAAATTGTATTATGTTTGAAGTGGAACCTATTTTTTAAATGAATGAATGAGAAAATGAATGGAACAGAAGTCCAGTGGTGTGCTGGGAAATAGTTAATAATTGTCTCTCTGGGGGAAGAGGGAGTCTTGATTTGAAGCATTTGCTGATTTCTTTGGTATAAATATTCCCATTGGGGTCAACTTCAAGCTATCAACATGATGTCAGGTGGCTCCCCAAATTCCTAAAAACTTAGCAGTTGGCTCTCACAAGCTGATACGATCCAGCTGCAGCACCCTGCATAAGGTCCCAGGGCAGGAGATGTTCCCTTGACATATGTGGGTAGTTGAGGGGAAGGTGGAGGTGCCATGAGCTCCTTCCTCAGCCCCAAGCTAACCAGAATCAATTTGGGGTGTTCTCAGAGCATTGTTTCAAGAATGATCAGGAGTTCCCACCCTTGATGTGAGGGAGATGGGTGTCAGATGCCAGCTCGGACCCTTCCCAGGTCCCTCTGGGATCATGGGACAGGTGTCTTAACCTCTGAGGCTCAGTTTCCACATCTATCAAAATGAAATGTCAAAACCACAAGGGGGGTGTGGTCAGAATTCCATAAACTAGCTGGCTGAAAAAAGTGCCCTTACCTGGGACCTCACATGATGCCTCGTTGTTGTGGGATCTCTGTGTTGCATGAAAATGGCTGGACATATAGTAAGTGCTCAATAAACACTAGTCTTTGCTATCCTTCCAGCCTCTTTTAGATGCAATCCCATCTCTGGAGCACTGACCCTTTGCTGGGCTGGGTGCTGGCATTTAGCCTACTTATCACATCTGTGGGTAAACTGGATGACTAATTATAGTTGGCATTGGTCTGGCTTCTTTGTGAAATTTAATAATGCCAACAATCCTGTGTGCTCCAGGATTTTGAGAAATGGGCAAAACTCACATCTAGAGTCTGTTCATCTATTCGCTCTCAGACCCAGGTCTAAGCTCCAGCTTCACCGCCAAGGAGGCGTGCAGCCTTGGGTGCATCCCTCTATCTCTCCAAGCATCGGTTCCCTCATGGGCAAAGGGAAGATATCTGTCACCTGTCTTCATAAGGATATGGCCAGGGTGGAATGGGAGAGTGTATTTAAAGAGCCTCAGTGGTGCCTGGCCTCTGTAAGTGTACCTTGAGTGGGAGCTGCTGTTATTACCATTATATCATCCAAGAAAGAACAGGCTGCCCCTTCAGACCACATGCTCGCTGTACACCACCCCCAGAACTTTTCTCAGAATCTCTTTATCCCCAGAATGAGTTTTGAATCTTGTCCAAGCTCTTTTGTTATGTGGAGGCGTCTTATTTCTTTGAGGACCTGCTGCTGGGGTCACAGAGGAGAGAGGACAGTTGTCAAAGCAGCGTGTTCTCCGAGCCAGCCTCCTAGACAAATCCCAGTGGGGGTGCATAGGGAAGAACTCTTGATTGTTCCGGCAAGAAACCCCAAGCAGGCAGACTACTGCAGCGCCCAATAAAAACCCACCTTGCTTGGATGTTTCATCTTCCAGATTAGCTCTGGGGATGTCATGGGTTTGATTCCTTGGCCAGGGACTGGAATTACTTTTGGTGGAGGAGGAGGGGATCATCAAATTCAGCACCATGTTGAAAAAAGAGCCCCAGTCTAGAAACAACCAGGCTAGCTGTATCAACCAGGAGTCTTTTGGTGAAACGCAAATCATCCTTATTTAAACAAGGAAAGGAATTCCCGGTCCATGTAATCGAAAAGTGTGCTGGGATCCAGAGAATTAAATTCAATTTCTTTCTTTTCCTCTCTGGGCTTTGCCTCTGTTTGGGTCCTGCTTTCAAGAAACCCTCTCCAGTCTTCACAACCCAAGCAGAAGGAGGCTCTCTACTTGCCAAAAGTCTGCAAAAATTCTAAGTAGGCTTCTCATCGGACCAGACTGGATCACATGCCCAGGGCTGAGCCAATCCTTGTGGCCGAAGGGATGGGATGTGCTGATTGGCCGGGATGAGATGTGCCACTTGTAACAAGGGGAAGGAGTAGGACCAGTCCCATCATAGATAAGGGCCCCACATCTTACCGGTGGGTGTGTCTTCTGGCCTGTCCCCTGCTTCCATTAACAGGCTGCTCTGAGATGAAATGAGATCACATAAACAAAGCACCGAGCATAGATGCATGGTACATAGTAGGAGCTCAATTAATGTCTCCTCCTGCTCTAAGTCCCATTGCCTCCCTGAGCCTCAGGCTTCTCATCTGTAAAATGGAGCTAATCATGAGAGACTCATTTACTTACTTTGTACATACGTATCTCACTCCTAGCACTGGGCTAGATGGAGGGCATAGAATATGATGAGATAGGTGTGGTGCTTGCCCACACAGAGCTTAGTGTCTAGTGCAGGAGGCAGATAGTAAACACATGGACCAGTGAATAAATAAACGTAAACTTGTTTCAAATAGCACTAGGTGTAGCAAAGGGAATGAAACAGGGTCACTGAGGAAGGGTGGTGGAGGCACCTGTCAATGGCGTGGTTGAAGGGCAATAAGAAGAACAGCTGGTGTTTACGGGACAGTTGCTGCATGCCACACACTGTCCTGAGTGCTTTGCATCTATCAACTCTCTTCATCTTCATGACAATCTCACGAGGCAGGAAATGTTATCATCCTTACTTTTCAAATCAGGAAACCGAAACACGGAGAGGCTAATAAGTTATCAAAGTTTGCACAGTAACAGGTAGATCTGGGATCTGAATCCAGGTGGTTCCTGCCCTGTGGGAATGATGCCACACAGAGTAGAATTCCAGTGTAATGTGGGTGTGCTAAGACCGAGGCCATGGCAGGCCAGAAGAGAGCTCCTCTCCTATTTCTTGGGTTCCAGGTGCCCCATCCTACACTGCCTCTTCCATCTGGGAATCAGAGATCTGAATTACAAGGAGGAAGGGCAGGAGCAGAGCTGAGCGGTAGGATTGAGGGCGGGGTGTTCCAGAGACAGCTAGAAGGCTGGTGTTTCTGGAGGCAGCACAGAAAATGCTTCTTACCCACACCTTGGGTCCTCCCTATGCCTTACTTCGGCTGTGTCTCCTAAGAGCCAGGAAGGTGGTCAGGCTGATCATCCTACAGCTAAGCACACCAGATCTAGAGAGGTCAAACACCTAGTCCAACACAGCACAGCAGTGGCAGAAGGCCACTGTTACTGAGGGCCAGAGGCCTGGCCTGCATGTTTTCTGAGGAGGTGGAGGTTGGAAAATCACAAGATTGGGTCTCTGGTCTCTCTGGGTACCCAGCTGTTGCAGTGGCGTGGAAAATTAAAACCAGCCCTCCCACAATGCCTGGTGCCGATTGCAAGAGAGGAGATGGTGGGGAGAGAAATAAAGGGATTGGGGACATAATGGGATTCAGAGGTGGCCTGAGCCCAGGAGGGAATGCTCAGTGTGATTCATGCATAGCTGTGCGGTAGGTGGGAAGGGAAGTGGGGGGCGCCCTCAGCATCTCAGGGCATAAATGCCTGGGCTTTAGGCTGCCTCTCAGGTGCTTGTTGAAAGTCAAGTACACACTTTAAACAAATAAAGAAACAGAAAATTCATATTCAATGTAATTCCACTTCTTGGGATCTACCCTGTGAGGTTTCTAAGAGGCTCACCTTAACCATTTTTGTAACAGTGGAGAACAAGATACAG